CCTACCTATCCCATACCCTTTCTGCTCCCAAGGGAGGGTGAGGTCTTCCGTAGGGGGTCTTCAAAGTCTGTCTTAATCTTTGGGATAGGGCCTAGGCCCACCCCCTTGTGTCTAGGATCAGGGAGTATCCCTCCATGTGGGATGGGCTCCCAAAGTCCATTCCTATGCTAGGGATAAGTACTGATCCATTAAAGGGTCCCCATAAATTTCTGAAGTCTCCTCATTGACACACACATTCAGGGATCAGTCCCATGCTGGTTTCCCAGCTATCAGTCTGGGGACCAAGAGCTCTCCCTTGTTCAGATCAGCTGTTTCTGTGGGTTTCTCCAGCCTGGTCTGGACCCCTTTGCTCATCAGTCCTCCTTCTCTGCAACTGGATTTCAGTTCAGTTCAAGGTTTAGCTGTGGGTGTCTGCTGCTACTTCCACCAGCTGCTGGATGAAGGCTATAGGATGGCATATGAATTAGTCATCAATTTCATTATCAGTGGAGGGCATTTAAGGTAGCCTCTCTTCTGTTGCTTAGATTGTTAGTTGGTGTCTTCTTTGTAGCTCTCCAGACATTTCCCTAGTGCCTGATTTCTCTTTAAACCTATAATGTCTCCCTCTATTATATTATCTCTTCTAAATTATATTATATTATTTCTTCTGTTCTTCCCCTAACTCAACCTCCCTGTCCCATCATGTCTTCCTCACTCCTCCTCTTCTCCCCTTCTCATTCTCCTAGTTCCCTCTCCCCTCCCCCCATGCTCCCAATTTGCTCAGGAGATCTTGTCCCTTTCCCCTTCTCCAAGGGACCATATATGTTTCTCCTGGAAGCCTCCTTGTTTACTAGCTTCTCTGGCAGTGTGGATTGTAGGCCAGTAATCCTTTACTCTATGTCTGAAATCTGCATATGAGTGAATACATACCATGTTTGTCTTTTTGTGATTGGGTTACCTCGATCAGAATGGTTTCTTGTAGTTCCACCTATTTGCCTGAGAATTTCAAGATTCCATTGTTTTTTTTTTTTTCCTCTGAGTAGTACTCCATTGTGTAAATGTACCACATTTTCTCTATCCATTCTTCAGTTGAGGGGCATCTAGGTTGTTTCCAGGTTCTGGCTATTACAAATAATGCTTCAATGACTATCATTGAACAATGTCCGTGTTGTATGAATGTGCTTCTTTTGGGTATATGCCTAAGAATGCAATTGCTAGATCTTGTGGTAGACTGGTTCCCATTTTCCTGAGGGATTGCCATACAGATTTCCAAAGTGGCTGTACGAGTTGGCACTCACAGGACTGCTGGTTTCTCTAATGGGCTAAGGCGGGTGTCCTTCTGGGTGTCTGAGCTCCAGCAGAGCGTCACCTCTGCTTGAACGTATGCTTTCCTGCTTCCTCTAGACTTGGCTGTGTGGTAACCGAGCTCGCACCTTGCCGTAAGTGATGTAAGTTGGTAGGTGTTAAGAACTTGGTTTATTCCCTGAGAAGGTAGCTCTATTTCTCAGAGGCCAAGGTTCAGTCCTAGTACTTCCTTGAGAGCAGTGAAGATGCCAGATGTGAAGGTATATGCATTCATGAATCAAGGGCAAAATCACCAGGCTAGCATTTCTGCATAAGGGACCCTGTTGGGAGAGAGAAAAGGCATTAGGAACATTTAGAAATGCAGTTCTTGAAGATAAATGAGTAATAAATAAAATTCACAGTTTTCTACCTGGTTTGATGAATTTGCTTTCTGAAATAAGGTTGCAGTGAACATACTGTTTAGTGTTAGAACCTATATCCCTGTTCAATAAGAGATTTAGTACTTGACTTGAGCTACAAAGATGCTGGCAGTGGAGGTGCTTGTTCAGGAAGCGAAGGCAGGATCACAGGGCCAGCATGGAATACATAATGCAAACTCTTGCAGGGCCACATTGCTTCCAGAATCCACCTGAAGATCTGTAACTTCTCAAGGTACAGTCTGGGTGTTTGATTTATATCTTGAATTGGCTCTGAGTATGCCATAGCCTTTTGAAGTCCATATAGACAGGCCGTGGCAGGAATGCTGGCTGAGTGCTGAAGCCACTCCTCTCTCTAGTCTAGCTCTGTGTTGTCAGCCTATTGGTTTAAGTAAGAACGGGAAGTTTTTTGGAAAACATACCTTTTGTCTCTTGGAAGATGAAATGGCAGTCACTAAACTTGATAGCTTTGCAAAATAGGCAGCAAGGGACAGGCTAAAGGGTTAGTAATTGTCACAGATATTTCTTGCCAACTTCAAGCAAATATGTGTCATCAAAGAAAGACGCTCACCCCACAGCTATTATGAATGAACTGTGAGTAGGGAAGGACAATAACTCGGAAGCTTGGAGGCAGCGGTGCTTTGTTCTAGCTTTCCTGTGTTTTTGTAATGCTTGCATCTGTGAGAAATTAAAAATATTTTTAGTACGGTGGCTTCCATTCTTCTACCTTTGTTTACCAAGCTTCCTTTGTAGTTTCCTTTGTATGTATGTCCTGCTGGGTCTCACTGTCCTGAGGCGGCAGAGTGTAACTCATGCTTTTAAAACAGAACAATTAAAGAAGCCATAGCACTGGAATTTTCCACTAAGTGTAAAATCGTGTCTGTTCAGACAGATAACATATTAAAGACCTGTTGAGGACATGTGTTAGCATGACTGGTTGTTGGTATTGGATTTGCTCATTGTAGAATTCAGGAAGAATTTCTGCATTGCTTATGTGCAGTGTGTTTCCAGTGCAGTTGCTTCATACTGTGCCTTGACTTATTTTATGTGCAAGTGTAATTTGCATTATGTCTTTATTTAGGATGTTGAAGAAGTATATGCTGGAGACATTTGTGCATTGTTTGGCATTGACTGTGCAAGTGGAGACACATTCACAAACAAAAATAACAGTGGCCTTTCCATGGTAAGCCATGTAACTGCAAAGCTACTAATCATTTGAATTTTAAGTATCTATTTTTATATAGTATATTTTATATTGCAGCAAAACAGCTACAAAGGTTTGCGTTGAATGCTACAGGCAAGTTTCATCATGACCTGTGTTGGTTGTAGCTCTCTGAATATCAGCTAAATAAGTGCATTGTGCGGGCTTATTTACCTACCTGGTTTTTCTTAGTAAAAACATTCCACAATCCTCCAAAGTTTAAATGTGGAAGAAAATTTCTACTAGATAAAACCTGGAAAATGTAGCTCCAGCTCTTCTCCCCTGAGGTCTGCTGCCCACTCTGGGTGCCACTTTAATTATTGTCACTATCAGGCTGTTCCCAGTGGAGTACTACTTGTCAAATCAGTGACTGGAGTATGACCTCTTCCAGTAAGCTAGGAAACTTTAAAGCCAGAGTATAATATTTGGAACAGACTTGGGATTAACAACATGTGTCTGCTTAGAAGGTAAGGTGTCTTATTGCCAGGTGTTCGTGGTGTACTCTTTTAATTCCAACATTCAGAAGGCAGAGGCAGGTGGATCTCTGAGATTGAGGCCAGCCAAGTCTACAGACTATGTTCCAGGATATTCAGGGCTGTTACACAGGGAAACCCTGTCTTGAGAAAACAAAAAACAACAGCAACAAATTATTCTCTGGGTTTAGCAGATTATTATAAGACCATTCAAAACCCATAAATCTGCAATTTTAAGATCTCAATAAGGACATTTTGTATTTTAGATTAGGCCTTATATAAGTGCTTGTCATGAATTGGAGAGTGATTTAGTGGGTAAAAGCTGTTTTCTTTTGCAGAGGAACCAGGTTGGGTTCCCAGCACCCATATGGTGCTACCTAACTCCAATTGCAGGGGATCCAACACTGTCTTCTGTCCTTTCCAGGCTCCTGCACAAGCTTGGTGCACATACATACATGTCCACAAAACACTCATAACTTACATACATAAGTAAATGCTGGGCACTGCATTATGAAGTGGCTAGTTGTTGTGGGAATTGTTCACTTGGACACTGAAGGAAGTAGGCCTTGGTTAGCCTCACTTCTGTCCAATACTGCTTGCATGGTCTTTGGCCAAGTTACTTTCCGTTCCTTTCAAGCCTTTAGTAACTTTCAAGCCTTTATAACATGAGGATAGTTTCTGCTTCTTAGAGATGTCATTGATCAAATAACATGTGTGTATAAAGACTCTGGATTCCCTTCTGTTTCCCTTATTATAACTAAAATACAGTAAATTATCAGAAGATTGCAACAGGAAATGTAGAACAAGCAATAAAAATATATCCCCAAGCCAGGCGTTGGTGGCGCACGCCTTTAATCCCAGCACTTGGGAGGCAGAGGTAGGCGAGGCCAGCCTGGTCTCCAGAGTGAGTGCCAGGATAGGCTCCAAAGCTACACAGAGAAACCCTGTCTTGAAAAAACAAAACAAAACAAAACAAAAAGAATATATCCCCACAAAAAAAGAATTCCATATGCCAACATCTAATTAACTTAATTGTAGTGATTATGTTAAATAGTTAGGTCAATAAATTAGATAAATTATTTTATTTTGGGAGACAGGAGTTCATGTAAATATACATATGTGTTTATTAATGTTACATTCTTATTTTAATACAAAACAGACGAAGACCCATATTGTCCAGCCTAAGATGTTGGCTAGCATTTGCTCTTTGTTTTGTTGTTAATGTAGTATACTAATTACTGAGTCTTAAAACTGACTTTTATTTTGTGTTTGCTTTAAAAATGTTTTTTTAGGAATCAATTCATGTTCCTGAACCTGTCATTTCAGTAGCAATGAAGCCTTCTAACAAGGTAGGAGTTGAAGCTTCAACAAATTGCTCTAAACTTGAGCTTTCTTTGGTCATTCTTCATGTTGCATATGGTGTCTTGCAGAAAGCAGCACTGAGCTGGTTTCTGTTCCTTTTGTTGGTACTGAAATGGACCTTTTCATTTAGTAGGCGGTCCTGATAAGTGCTCAATGTATTTGAAGGGATGGATGGCATTTAACAGTAGAGAATACTTTATAACTCTTCATCGTTAACATCATCTACCTTCTTGGAGTGTTAAATTTTTGAAAGGGGAGAAAAAGGTATTTGTCTCAAGTTGTAGTTGTTAGACCCCCGAAAACTCAAGTATCCCGGGTCCCAGGCCACGTTCGAGGTCACCCCAATCACCAGGCGGATTCGAGAGCTTGCTGCAAACTGTACGAGGCTTTATTGTAATTTAACGAGCTAACCCCATGTTAGCTGGGGTCTTTCATCCACCCGCCAAGGCGGATGGCTAGAAAAGACGGCTCCTAGGGGCTCCCGAAAGATCTTATAGGGCAGCGTAAGGGGAGTGTCTAGGGGTATGCACAGGCTCACGATTGGTGTGCCTCCAGCCTTGGAGGGCTTGCCCTGTGTTGATTGGTCAACTGGTTGTTATGGCCCATAGGCCCTCCCAGGGTGGTTGCTATGCTCTCTACGTCATTGCTGTGTGCTTGTCCGTAAAGCCCACCCAGGGTCGTAAAGCCATAGGGCCACCAGCTACCTTCTGATTGGTTCCTTGTCATGAGGCAGGCCTCTGGCTTCTAGTGCCTAACTAACTTCTGATGGGTTCCTTGTCATGAGACAGGCATCTGACTTTCTAGTCACTAACTTCTGATTGGTTCCTTGTCATAAGGCAGGCGTCTGACCTCTAAGTGACCAAGGCAAGTTTATGGCAAGCACATGTTCAGCTGTTTTGGCTGCCGAAAGGGGAGCTGATCCCTTCAAAAGGATATCATGTGAACTAGGGGATTTTTGGTGTCCTTGTCTACTTATGCATTAAGTGTCTTCTCACAAGTGAGTTGATTTCAATGACGTCTCTCTCACTGTAAAGCCTTGAGCTTTGATAGTGAGCAGGGCCGATGCTTCTGCTGAGTGGGGAGTATCTGGCTGTGCAGAGAAAAATCAAGAGTGACTTGATTACACTAACCTAGAGACTGACTGCCCTCGTGTGTGTTGCCTGTGTGGCCTTGAGTTACTTAACCCCTACCTACGTATTTACATTACAGTTGAATTTGAGATAACATGCACAGTAGGCATTATAGCTCCAAGCATGTGATTAATGCTGCCACTGTTACTTCTCATGCAGGACCTTTTCATTCTTTATTGCTACCATAAGAAATTTCCAAAAATGTAGTAACCCAAAACAACACCAATGTATTTATTTTATAGTTCTGTAGATCAGAGACTGATATGATTCACTACAGTTTAAATTAATCAAGCAGGGATGTATTTGGGTGTGTGTCTGTCTGTCCCTTTTAGTGTGTGCAGGCATATGTTCACAAAGGTCAAAGGACACCTCATGTTTTGACCTCACCTTCCACCTAGTTTACAGGAGGTCTCTTGGTTGTTCACCCTTGTGTGTGCCTGCTACCTTCCAGTGGTTCTCATACCTCTGCCACTCATCTGGCCATGGGAGTCCTGGGATTGTGTAGCTGGATCCAGTGTTACATAGGTTCTGGGGATTTGGACTCAACTCCTCAGACTTGGGAAGCAAATGGTTTACCCTTTGAGTTGTCTCCCCAGCTCAGGGTTGTATTCTTCTTTGGAAGTTCTAAGGGAAAAACCATTTCATTGCTTACTCATGTTTGTGGGGAGAATCCAGCTCCTCTAAGAGCTGGATTGGGGTTTCCATTTCCTTTTCACTTCAGGGTCATTCCAGCTTCCAGAGGTTACACACCTTTTTTTGGCTTATGGCCTCCTCTATCTTTTTTTTTTTTTTTCTTAGATGTCATGGATTTATTTTTAATTATGTGCATGTGTGTCTATCTGTGTAGGGATATATTCATGTAGAAGTCAATGGCATTTGATCCCCTGGAGCTCTAGTTACAGATGGTGTGAGCCACCTGACATGGGTGCTGGGAACTAAACTCTGGTCCTCTGGAAGTTCTCCTAACCACTGAAACACCTCTCCAGTGTTCCCTTCCCTTCCCCACCATTTTTAATGCTGGCACCAATGGGTTGGGTCTTGTTCCTGCTTCTCTCTTGCCTTTCTTTCTTCATCGAATTGTCTTATGCTCCCATCTGCTTTCTTGAATTTGAAAAGGCCCTTGTGTTATATTGAGCCTACTCTGACAATTCATAGAATGCTCCCTGGCTTAACAGTTGGGAGTAGAGGGGGGAAGGACAGGTGGGGGGACAGGTGGGGGGAGAGAGGGAGAAGGGATTGACATGTAAAATTATAATTTTGCAAAAATTAAATAAAAAACAGAAAAAAATTCTAAAAAAAAAAAAAGAGCTGGGAGAAGTGGGTGACTTATTCTGCTTCCCGTGTGGAATTACATGAAAGTGCAAAGGTCTATCAGATAACCAAGGAGATTGTTTCAAAACAGAAACATCTTGATGTGCTATTTCCTTTGCTGTTGGTCTTAACAGAGTAGTAAATGCTCTTGACTCTACAGAAAAGTCTTGGTAAGCATGCTGACTATATTAAATAGAGGATCTCCAAAGTGTCAGGTGCTTCCTTTCACTCAGGCAGTTCCCACAGATGGATAGTTTGGTCAGTGTGATAGGAAATGACAACTAAGTCTTGGACCCTTGTTTTCTGTCTTGGTGTGAAGAGAAAAATCCTGTTCAGCTGGCTGGGCTCTGTCTGGTCTTGGCTGTGGTGGCCAAGGTTGTATTTTTTCCAAAAAAAAAAAAAAGGTCTGAGTAGAACTAGATATGGACCCTCTTTATTTCTTAAGTGCCAATGTATATGGTTTTATCCAGTAACATCTTCTCAAAAATGCAGTTGTTTTTCATGCTTAATCAATCCTATAATGACTTTTCCTCCTCTTTTAAAGAACGATCTAGAAAAATTTTCCAAAGGTATCGGCAGGTTTACACGGGAAGACCCCACATTTACAGTCCGCTTTGACACTGAGAGCAAGGAGACGATTGTGTCTGGAATGGGAGAGTTACATCTGGAAATCTATGCTCAGGTATGGCTCACAGAGCAGCTCCATGCAGCTGCCTTAGTTACTATGTGTGCTTTGTTAAAAAAATCAGTTAATAGAATATCACATCTGATTGTTGTCAGTTATTAAAATGATTTAAAATTTACTGTTCAGTTATTTACTATATTTCATTGAATGATTTTAAGGTATTTCTTTTTTATTTTACTTTATAAATACAAGCAATATTAATCCCCCCCTCACCTTCATTTTAGAGAATGGAGAGAGAATATGGCTGTCCTTGTATCACAGGAAAGCCCAAAGTGGCCTTTAGAGAGACCGTCACTGCCCCTGTGCCGTAAGTACACAATGCAATCAGACTCCATGGGACTGAAGTGGACTTTTTATTAGGGGATATACATAGTACTGTTACTGTTGGAAAGACATCTTTATGTAGTAACACTCTTTATTATTATGGAATCTATGCAGCTTGGAGCTGTAGCCAAGACAAACAAAGAGACACTGTGGGATTTACTTGGCTTATTAGGCTAGATGCCAATGAGGACAGTCATCCACATCATTAGGAACATGTTTCCATTTCATCTGGGTCTTAGGGTCTTTGTTTACTCTGCTCCTGCTTCCTTCGGGAGACGGCTATTGTGCTTTACTTTTGTGCCGTATTGTGGATGCCACAAAACTTGCATTTGCCAGGGAATAATCTCCTGCAAGTAAAGAAAGTTAATGCTGTTATGAAAGTAGAAAATAATAGAGTTTATATTGTTAGCAATATTTAAAATGGCTTCATCAGGAATAGCAGCAAACAAGTTCAGATGATACAAAAATGACACACTTCAGTCTGGTACCTGCTTGAATTATCACTAACTTTTGCTTCGAGTCAAAAGGAATAAGGTAACTGTGTGGCTACAAAAGAATTCTTGATTTTCAAAGTAGCATCAAATAAAGATAAGTCATATATGTTACCTGTGATGCAATGTCATGGAGTAGAATGGTATAGTCTAATTCAATGAAGTCATCATTTCTTGGCTATAACAAAAAAAAGTGTTTAAACAATATCATGACAAAATGACATCTTAATTTTTTGAATTAATGTTGATTTATAAAAAAAAGAATTTGAAGTTCATAACTGACTTCAACTTAGCCTGATAGAAAACTATTTTCTTACATTGAAGAAACAAATACTCTTTCAAACAATATTTTAAAAAATCACGATTTTGTATTTGTTACTCTAAAAATTGCTTTTCTGTGTTTTCACTTTCCAATTTGTGGCATCTATTTAAGAGCATTACTATATGTAGCTTTTTATTTACGAGCTCTTAGTGTCAACGATGGCAATAGGAAATTCATATGAAAAGAAACCAATTATATAATTCTTTAGAAAACGGACAGTAGTAAAATGTAATGACTAAGTCATCTGATTTTATAATAAAGCTTTGGTTTGTACTGTTTGTTACTTTAGGAATAAAAAGCATGTATGCAGTGAGCTACACAGAACTACTCCATCTGTGTAGGTTAAAATCATCTTCAGAAATGTACTGTGCCATGAGGCTGAGGCTTCTCAAGGCTTGTCCTTACTGTATTGAGGCAGCATACTTGTGGGCTCCTCCATGTAGCAGTGCTTAGAGATGTAACCCGAGAATCACCATTTTCATTTTTAAAATCATGTAATGAAGAGTCACAGGTTTTTGTTGTTGTTGTTTTTAGTAAGCATAAAACCACTGCTTTTAAGCATGAAATCACTGGCTGGACATAGCTTGAGAATTCATAAGTATGGTTTTATGGGCTATACCTGGCCTGGCTTGATAGTTTAGTCCCCTCAAAGGAGTGTTGTAGTCAAGGTTGGTTTTTGGGAAATGCATTTGGAAAGCAGACTCTGTTTCTCAAAATACTGCAGCATTTAATAGGTTTGTGGCCTCTCACTCGGAGTGTTATAACTGCTGTCCTACCAGCCATTATAGGTGTCTAGTAAGCAGTTACAAAGGTCCCTTAAGACACACAGTGCTCCAGCTGTTCTGTAGTGTGTTGCCTGCACACCGAAAGAAGCAGCAGGAAGCCCTTTTCGCTTGGGTTATGGAAACTATCTTTTGTGGTTCTTAGTATTCTTTCTTGTTTCCCATCAGATACTAGTTAACTATCCCCCCATTTTACCTCCAAGAGGAAAAAAAAAAAACCTAAAGAATCTCTTCATATATATTTCTGGTCTAGGGAGATGCATTTCTACATACCCATGGTATTATGCTTAAGAAAGCATGAGGCTAGTAATACAATGTGAGGTCGTAAACCATGACTAAAGAGATTAGAGAAAAGAATCACGCATGCGCCGAGGAACGGCTAGAACTACTTCAAGCTTACAAAGACCACAGTGCTATGATTCTCTCTGGCAGAAATGCCAGTCCTGTCTCTAGGTAGCCAAGGAACCCCATTCAGTAGAGAAAAAATGCAGTTAGTTCAGAAGTACTTGACAATAGCAATTCAAATACACTGTTTAGATTGTTAAAAAGGAAATATTCTGTATTAAACTGAATGCCAAAAAAATTTAAAAAGTCAAATTTTAACTCAGAACTTCACAGTTTTGAAGTGCAGCTTTGTGAGTGTGGTAAAAAATAGCCCTTAGGACATTTGTAAAGCAAATTAAAGACAGAATGATTCATTAAAAATGTATACTGTGCCTGAGTCTTTGTCTAGTGTATACTAATAAAGCTTCAACCCTTTTTGCTCTGGAAAAGCATCATAAATAACCAAATCTGATTTGCTTGGCATGAAAATGCATTCTAGAAACTGCTCATTAGAAGATGTTTCCTAGAAAATCCTTAGCTTTGCCTTTTGGTAATATTTGCTGCCTGTGATGTGTGACCAGGGAAAGCAAACTCAGCAGACACAATGGTTAGGAAGATAGATGTTAGGCAGAGAGGACTGTGTCTGGACTCTCTGCTAATAAGCCAAGTGACTCTGGGGACCAGTGCTGTTGCTTTGGGTGCTTACCTTCAACTTGCCTTTCATTAGTGCCTTCACACTACCAGGTTCACTAGTTTTAATACAAAATGGCAATAGGAACACTATCCAGTTGTAGACACCAGTACTAAGTCAGTATTAACTGTTAAGAGCATATTTTGTAGAGAGAAATTACATACCACTTGCTTGACGGTTTGAATTTGTGCCATTTTATACCACGTATCTTCAGTAGAATTCTGCCACATTATATAACTGCAGGCCACCCAGGCTAAGTGGCGAACTGGCTTCATTTGTGGAGACACATTTCCATGACTGTCTGTTAGAGGAAACATTTATATGCTAAATGTAATATTAACCTTCTAGATTAAAAAATCAAAATTCTTAGTCATGCTTCCTAGTGTTCTAATGTGTGTGAAAACTAAATTAAGCCATGGATGTTTACATTTCCAAATCTTTTTTATTGCTGGATTAGATTAGAAATAATTATTTTGGCAAAAGTTAGTTTATTTCCAACATAGTTAACATCAAACAATTTTGAGCATGGGTAATAGAGATACATCTCAAGTTTGAAGAACAGATTTCCCATGCTTTATGTGTGTACCTGGAATGTTTTGTGCTTGTAGTGGTTCCTTCATAGACATAAGTCTTTGATAAAATGTGTTATCTTCTTCATCTGGGTTCTTGCCAATTTCTCCTTCAAATGTGAAGTTGACCTCTGGTGCAGTCCCTTGTCCCATTTGAGGGTAAAGAACTTCGGCTGTGCAGTTCACTGTAACTTGCTGTTAGAAACATTTTTACAGAAGATCAATCTTACAGATGGCCATTCATGATCGTAAATGACTAGTTCTGAGGATGTTAGGAATACTAACCCTAAGGACTGCTTATACTTCACTGTTAGTGGGTGTTGGTTTGCCATGTCAACTTTTAGTTTGACTACACACCAACACAGGACTGGTCCCTTCTAAGTTTGCTCCTTACTCTTTCTCTCTACTTCTGAAACCACTCTTTTCCAAATGCAGACACAACAGTGTCTCCCTACTATAAAAGTAAGGGATAGGTCTAGCAGCTCAAATGCCTTTTAGAGCATTTCTTCTTGCAAGTATCTTGAGTTATACTCAGGGAGAGGGTGAACTTTTCCACAGTTTCAAGATGGCTGTGGCACAAACTGTAGCTCTTCCTTTTAAATTTATTCCATTAACATTTTGACAGGCATAAAATCTTTTCAAACTTTCCTGCCTCATTACTGAGAGATTATTGGAATCACAGTTGGTCATTCTATTGCTCCTGAATTTCTAAAGGTACTTAATTTGAATACCCAATTAAAGGGCAGGCATAATAAAAAAAAAAAAAGTAAAAAAAGCAGGCATAAAAAAGCAATCATGACTGGAGAGTAAATTACTACATTCAATCATGCAAGGTGTAAGTTCAAGCTGCTCAGAATGTGTGATTTTTTTAAGGGTAATTTATTTGAACTGAAATAACTAACCGTCTCTAAATAATTCAATAGAAAGAACTGAGGCAATACACACTGGCTCACGTGGCTTTGCCTGCAGAGGGCTGCCATTTATACTCAGAGACTTGTCAGCAGCAATAGGAAAAGCCCAAGATCAAACCCTTCAGCAAAAGTGATTAGAATATGCTGAATCAAAATTTATTCACTAGACAGGGCATTTAACTTACTTTTTGGATAATTTCTTCCACAGAAAATTTAAGGTGATACTTGTGTCCTCTTCCCGGAATATCCTAAAATTAGGAAAAATGTAGTGGAGAAAAGAAGATACTGTAATAAGTCAAATCTTTTTACTTAGGGCATTCTTATTATTACATGGCTGGTGTGAGGAAATACATGTAAGCTTTGCATCTTTTTACACATCACATGATGGGTTTCATTCTCTGTATATTGCTGTACCTCATCACCCCTCCCCCAAGCCTTACTTCTTCAGAAGGCCCTGCCGCCAATTATTTAGCATCTAGTTTGGCAGTCTCTATTGAATTTATTTTAATTAGAGTAGAAGATGGATAGAAGCATACAAAATATACAGATTCAAAGACAATAGGATACACCTTTGGAAAAGCTTATCTTAAAGCCCAGGGTACCAGAGCATCCAGTGACTCAATTATTAGAGGCAGATTACTGACAAGTGATCGAGACAGTATGTGTATATGCTGTTTGTGCTTGTGTCTCTTGATCTGCCAAACCATACTTAAACAAATCTTATGAATTGATAGATATAGTTATTCCACTTTTCAATGAGGAGATAAGTTTGAAGTTTATACCTAATTATCGTATCTAGTAAGCTTCAAAATTAAAAACCTTTTTTCTATAAGCCAAAAAGATTTTTGAGCAGTTGTGTCAGATTATGGGTGTGTGTGTGTGGGGGGGGGGCACTCAGTAGGTGAGGCCTTAAACATTGGCCCAGCTTCAGCCCGGGAAACGCGTATCTCAGGCAGGATGTGGTGGCCAGTGCCTGGCAGCAGCACACAGTGCTTTTGTCCTCTTACAAGGGGCTAGTTTCCCATGGTTTCTCGTCCTTTTGGGTAAAGGTCCAAAGAGTTGCCTTTAAAGTTTAGGGAGTTGTTTGGAGGCCGTGAGCTTCTGTTGGCCAAGTCAGCCAGTCAGCAGATGAAAAACAGTAACAGCTTCCATGGTATTGAGAATGCCTTCCCTCTAGACCCAGTCTCACCACGGGAAAGGGAAAGATGCCCCCACCTTGTGCATCTCCCAATTCCTTGAACTAATATGCACAAAATCTGTGTCTGCGTGGGTTCTCTGCGGGACGGTGAAAGCAAATGGTTCTGGGCTGAGTCCCCTACCAGGGACCTGGAGGAATGCTAGGGAGGAATGCTAGTTTCGGAGGCAGAGCCGCGGGCTGCGGCGGTTGAAGGGTTGAAAATGAGTGGATCCCAGATCCCAGCCCGGTCCCGAGACTCACCTCCTTGCTGGCCTGCTGGACCGTCTGCACTTGGAACACCTTGTGGGGGGTCCCCTGCTGATAGTTGATGCAGTTCTCTGCCACCGAGGCAGCCCTGGAGGCTGCATAGTGGGTCGCTGGGATCTCCATCTTTGGGGACCAGGGAGTGCGGATTGCCCTGGTTTAAGGAGGGGTCGCAGTGGATGCGGTGGGTGGCGGCCGGCGGCTGGGTCGTCTCCTGTGCGGTGGAGAAGCCCGCAGTTGGGCTGGGTGTGTGTAAGCCTCAGCGTCTTCCTTCCCTCTTCCTCCTTCGCGCAGGAAACTGTTTGGGCTGTGGCTCCGCCGCTAGGAGCCCGGCCCCGCCCCGGGGTAGGCGGGTGCCTCCTGGAGAAAAGCCCGGGCATTCCCTCTGGCTCCTGCAGACTCTGGCAGGTGTGGGAAGGAAAGGGAAAATTCAGGAGGCAAGGTAGGGTCTTTCAGGCCTTGCTTCAGTGGGTCCTTTAGAAGCCATCAGCTGCTTCTGGCTTTTCACATGCAGATTGGAATACCTTTCCTGAAATGGGCCTCAAGGGGGCAAGGTGCAAAGTGCTCCAGGTGTGATTCACCCCTACTTTCCCAGCTGTGAGCCTCCAGGAACTGGCTTGCTCACCCAGCTTTCCTTGGAGTGTGATCTAGAGTGGAGAGGCAGAAAAACCATGCTATAAAGTTGGGGGACTAATTGGAATTAGAGGAAAAAATTTAAAATGTACGTGCAGACCTCCCTTACTGCACTGATCTTAGAAATATGAGGCTTAGTGACTCTTAAAATTTTAATTTTATGCTTTTTAATTATGTGTATGTGTATGCACACGTGTGTGCAGGCACATCAGATCCCCCTGGAGTTGAAGTTCTGTGCAGTTGTGAGCCACATAGTGTGGGTGCTGGAAACCAAACTGAAGTCCTCTGCCCTGCTCTCAATTGCTGAGCGATCTCTCCAGCCCCATCTCTCTTTTAAAGGGTAGATTACTGAAGGCTTTTTGCGTAGACTACTACGTATGTTGTAGTGACGCTCTAAAAAGAAGGGGACTGTGTTGTATGTGCTACTGAAATTTTCCTATAAATGAGGACTTCCTTTGGACTAAGTGGGTTCTTAAGAAATAATATGCAATATAGCATTTCCCACCCTTTCCCATTACTTTAGCCAATACAAAGTAACTAGGGGTTAACAAGATTATATTTTCCCTAAGGTGTGTGTGTGTGTGTGTGTGTGTGTGTGTGTGTGTGTGTGTGAGCTCCATGGATAGTGTCCAGGAAGGAGTGGCTGTGTCTTGGGTCAGAAGGCACTCTGCAGAGCATGTGGTATCATAAGCTACTAGATGTATGTCCTGCAACAACTGCAGACTTCTAGTCTCAACAGTTAGGGCTACAGTGTGGGCTTCCCAAGTCAGCATTTTGGGTATCAAGTTCTGCATCTAATAGCTAGCATACATTATGTTATAAAGGTACTTACAATATTTATACCAACTTAGGATCTCTTAAAATTATAATTATTAATTTAAGGGGGAAATTTACTTTGGTTTAGATGTGAAATTAGCTGAATTGCAAGAATATCATTCCTATATTTGTGCTTTTTTTTTAATGTTTTTAGAATATTTGCCTGCAAGTTATGTATGTGTACCAGGTGTATGCCTGGTATCCAAGGAGGTCAGAAAAAGATGTCAAATCCCCTGGAACTGGAGTTAGGGATGGTTGTGAACCACCATGTTGTTGCTGAGAACCAAACCCAGGTCCTCTGCAAGAGCAGCCAGAGCTCTCAATCGCTGACCCATCTCTTCAGCCCCACTTGAGTCTTTAAGTCTTAGTTACCTACTGTAATTTCATCAATGGTAAATATTCAGTCTGTTATACTCAGATTTGAATAATGTATAGATTGTCTTCAAGAAAACAACAGTTATTATGAGTCTCCAGGATCAGGTAATTTACACTATTGATTTTATATTACAATATGAACATTGAACAAGATAAAAAAAAATACTGTGGCTTGTAACTTGAGTATGATTATAAAGTCAAAATGGCCAGACATAGTGGCTCATGCTTTTAATCCCAGTACTTGAAAGGTAGAGACAGGCAATCTCTTGAGAGTTCCAGACTACCCAAGGCAACATATTGAGACCCTGTCTCAAAAAATGAAAAATAAAGTAGGTAAAAATGAGTCTATGAATTAGAGATAAGCAAGAAACCCAGCAGGGTTCTCATTAGCATTACATTTAATATGACATGGTGTTTTGACAAAGCTGCCTCTCACTGGTTGCCAGCAGTGTGACTCTGGGCTAGAGGTTCTTTGGCCTTTGGCATGGCAGCCAACCAGCGTCCTCTTTATCAAATATTGTAAAATTCTGTTTTCATGCAGTGCCCACTGGTGACCCTGCAGGTGCTACGGTGAACATATCAGTTGGGTCCAGTTGGTTTACATTTTCTTACTAGCATTCTAGGAAAATGTTTGGTTAAGGGTGTTGCTTTTGATGCAAATCCTGGTTATGGTGTTAGGTAGCAGTGACATTTGTCTAGTTACTTTGCTTCTCTGATCCTCAGGTCTTGCACCTATGAAGTGATGACTGGAAACAGTGATGCTTTCTGAGTTTAGTTCATGCAAAGTGTTTAACATAAACCTGGCACTTACATGTTCTGTCACTTGACCTCCTCTCATTTGTAAATGGCATTGTCCCTAAAACTGTGTGGAATTACTTGGATGTGAGCTGATTCTTAAAACATTGGTGCCTGAAGAATTCAGTGGTGCTGGATTAACTCGTGCTTGTGCACAACTTAAGTGGTTGAATTTTCCAGTTTGTTTAAATAACTGTGATTAGCTAATCTATATAGTTAAACTGTATTGTACAGATACAGACTATTTTTCATTAAAAGTTCACATACTTTATTTTGTTTTGTATGGGTGCAGGAGTATGTGGTGTGGAGGTCAGAGGGCAACTTGTGGGATGAGGTTCTCTGCTTCCACCATGTGGTCCCAGTGGTTGAACTCAGGTCATCAGACTTGACAACAAGCTCACTTCCCTGCTGAGCCATCTCTTCAGCCTCTGCTATTTTAGAGAGATATTGTTAGACTGAAAACAAAATGCCCCATCTTCAGAATGTTGAGTATCTGACAGGACCTTGGTTTTTGCACCTGGAAACCCCTCCAACTGTGCTTTTGTGGTGACTTTGCCCTTGTTTCACCCTCTGCTTCCCTTCCCTTGCTTCTTATAGATGTTTTTCCCTCCCTGGGAAATTAAGTGTTCACTCTCTGGGGTTTCCCAGCCCATCCTGAAGCTCTTGGCCACTGGAAGGTTATTAGAAGGCAGTTAGTCGTACACTCCCACTTAGGCTCTTTAGGAAGTCTGCCCTTCCAGGCGTGCATTTCCTGTCATTATTTACATTTACTTCTTCTCAGCCACTTACAGACTTACCCACTAATATCTATAGACTCACCTGCAGATGTCGTAAATACTTTGGAAAGTGATTGTCCTCAGGTTTCAGGTTGAAGGAAGGAGCAGCTAAAGGAAGAAGCGGCTGGCAAACAGTATATACACATCAAATGTTTTTCCTATGAAATAGCCCTGCCTGTATGCTTGTGTCTTCATGTTTGATATTAGTGTTTGACTTACACACTAACTTGTGTTCATTTCCTTTTGAAAGCCTTTTTTTTAATGCTTGTCGTAGTATTTTGTCATTAATCATTTTCAGGTCTTAATTATTATATCTGATGCTTCCTTTAAGTCATCAATGTCCATAATGCTAAATAGTAAAATCAAATAGAAACTGCCTAAATAGCTATAGCCATCAGAGTTCTTATTTTAAGTAACCATCCTTGTTTACTACATTGTGTGACATGGAAGGGCAGTGTTCCAGAATTGGATGAGCTCTTTGGAATGGAGGTTTTTAGAAGCCTCAGATCGATCCTATTAGAAGAATGAAAAAACTTGATTGCTTAGGTGATATGGCCCCTCGTTCACCCTGAGTAAGAACAGAAAAGAATTTCTTCTAAATAACTTCTATAATAAATTCCATAGTATGACTGTCATCGTCAAAGGAAAAGTTTGTGTGTGTGTGTGTGTGTATAAACATATATATGAGCTGTGGATTTTGTGTAAATTAGTGGGCGTTTATTTCATTTTCCTAATTACTTATGCTCTGTTCGTTTTCTCTTCCTAAATCATTTGCAGGTTTGATTTTACACATAAAAAGCAGTCAGGTGGTGCTGGCCAGTTTGGAAAAGTAATAGGTGTGCTGGAGCCCCTCGCCCCGGAGGACTACACTAAATTGGAGTTTTCTGATGAAACATTTGGGGCCAATGTTCCAAAGCAGTTTGTGCCTGCAGTTGAAAAGGTAATGTTTAACAAAGCTCTGTAGCATTTGTCTCTATTTGAAAGGAGGTTATATGCTATTAAATCATAGTGTTCTGTTCTGTCATGTTTGTGTCTATTGAGGTTGCTTTTAGTTAAACATCCTTTTTTGTGGACTGTCACACTTTCCATATTCGAACCTCCAGTCCAGTTGAGGGGCTGTAAACACATGCTGTGACAATGGTGACAAGTTGCTCTGTTCATAGTATGTATAATTGGTCTTTGTGAATTGATGCTATTGCATTGATTATAATCATTCATCAAAGTTTATGGTAGTAATTTTAGGGGATTATGAGAGTTTTGTGTGTGTGATGTAGGAATGCTTGTTTGTTAAGACTCTTGGCACCTGGGTACTTCTCTACCATATTTTTGCTGCTGGTGAATGTGCTCTTGGTAAACGAAGAACTACTTTGTTTTGTTTGTTTGTATTCTATATGTAGCCCAGAATGGCTTGGAATTCGAAGAGTTCTACTTGCCTCTGCTTCCTGAGCACTTTGCTTAAAGGTGTGTGCCACTTCATCCAGGCAGAACTAGTTAAATTGGGAGTAAACTACTTGCCTGTCCCCTTCAAAACTGTTGAGGGGGTTCTGTGTGTGAGATGGCAAAGAGCTGTGCACAGTGACAAAGTGTCAATACTTGCTTTGCTTTCCCAGTTACTTACTCTGTACTCTAGACAATTGTTTAGTTTGTGGACAGCAGGTTATAATTTTGGTTTCAGTGGTAATCACATTTTTTTGTTGTTGGTAATGTATTTCACTCTTACTTTAAGATAATCCTTTGCCATTCACACACTTCTAAATACCAGGTGTCTCAAATTCACAGAAGAGAAGAAGACTTTACATATTTTTCAGCATACATAGTTTACAGTTTTGAAATGTCAGAAATATAATCTGTTGTGTGTGTAGCTATGTGACTGAATTAGAGGAGTTCTAGAAGTATTTAAGTGACTGAAAAGGAGTTGCAAACTTGTCAACTGTTCTTTAAACATACAATTTGTTGTATGTAAATTATACCTTAATAAAGCTGAGTTTTAAAAAGAGAGTTGCATTTGGAAAAATGAAATTTCCTTCAGTACTAGTTCTCAGCAATATCATGCAACTTTACACAGTGATTTTTGTTATGATATACCAGTACAGCAAAGTAGTAATGGATCTGTAATAGGGCTCAAGCCACAGCTACTGCCTACACGTATATATTGGTTGAGTTGGTGACCTTAGTTTGCCTTTCCTCCCTTCCCTCACTGTGTTTCTGTAAGGGAGTGAGTATTAAGTCATTCCTGAAATTGAGGTTGTGGGGCAGTGGTGATGCCCTTAGCCTCATTTTCCAGCCATCTCACACCTTCATGTACTGTCCTTTTCCACGGGATTGTTCATCTAAATGCTCAACTTAGAAAAATTTTGAGAGCTGAAAGACAGCTTATTTCTTAAGAACACTACATTTCTGATCAATAGCGTGTTTTAGAATTTTGGGCAATGCTCTGCAAGTGAAATCTCATTGCAATTATATTCATTCGTTGTTAGGGGTTTTTGGATGCCTGCGAAAAGGGCCCTCTTTCCGGTCACAAGCTTTCTGGGCTACGGTTTGTTCTGCAAGATGGTGCACATCACATGGTTGATTCTAATGAAATCTCTTTCATCCGAGCTGGAGAAGGTGCTCTTAAACAAGGTATGCTGTGTCACAGTGCCCTCTGTATTGGTCTTCCCTGGGAGACCGTCATAGTGAGAAGCAGCACTGTTTGTATTCTCTTTCATCCAGAATTTGGAATATGGGAGGTAAGGGACGGATACAGATTGAAGTGATAGGGGACAATTGTATTCTTTATTGCAAAAATCAAAGCCTAACCCTGTTCTAAGTTTTCTGAAGTTCTGGTTTTAATAGAGAAGACAAATGTTCAGAACTCTTTTTTAAAGTATTTTAAAGACAAATTAACTAGTCATGTTATTTTTACTCATTTATTTTAAGTGTCAAGGAGTTCATAAATTTGTAAGTAATTTTTTCATATATCACATTTTAAGCAGATAGGCATTATTATGAGAATGGAAAAGTGTTTGAAAGAATTCAGTAAACTTTATGCATAATACAGTCTTCCCACTAAACTGTTAAAATTGTCAACCTTACATGAGATAATACCTTTACTAAAACTGTGAACTATAACTGTGAACAGTTGCAGACAGGCATATGTGATTCTTTCTTATTTTTTTTAAATGCAGGTGAGTGCTCTACTTTCATAGTAGGTGGTTGTGAGCCACTGTGGGGTTGCTGGGAATTAAACTCAGAGCCTCTGGAAGAGCAGCCAGTGCTCTTAACCACTGAGCCATCTCTCCAACCCCCAGATTCTTTGCTTTTAATTCAGGGCAGTAGGAAACAAATGACAACAAAGCTATTTTACATCAGAATTATCCAGCAAAGAATTTCATAGTTATCCTGAAGCCAGAAAATTCATTTTCTTTGCCTCCTCATCCATATCTGGTATTTGTCAATTTCTTAGTAATATACATAAGTGCCCTTACATAATGAAATTATGATTCATAAAACATTTCAAAGGTATTTCAATCAAAGAGCTAAACAGACAGTTTAGAAATATTAGAGAATTAATATTTCTTAATTATTATTTCCTAAGCATTCCATAAGTCAGAATTCTGTTGATTCTATATGCATTTTGAGCTTTCTGAATTCCTTTTGGTCTCAGTTTTTTGCATCTGTGATTAATGTTAGGCAGTGTCTTGGAGGGCTGCTGTTTTCTAGACTAAGTTGCTAATTTTTTATTTTATTTAAAATTAGTAATTATCGTCTAGTTTTCAGCTGTAGAAAGGAAGAGTGATCATCCACTTCAGCTGTGTATTGAACAGGCTGTGCAGTCTGTGATACAGGAATTTGCTCAGTCTGAAGAAAGGAAATGATGTGGATGTTATTGGTGGAGCTCAGATTAGGCAGCCCACCTTCTGACCTTGAAATGTCCACTCCTTTAATACATCTTAAGTGCTAAGTCACTTTAATACTTCTTAGAAATACAATTGGATAAAAAGCACCAATTGTTTTATGCTGGTTCTTGAGTAGAAGTTTGTAACTTTCATGGAAATAGAGGTTAGGTAAAGCGAAGATAAATTATTTGCACATTAATTAACATATAGCTTCAGCCTTTTTAACTCTTCCTATATTTAAATATAAGTAAGTATAGATGCATATAATTTACATATATACCAATGAAAAAGTGAATGAAACGAATAATCACCCAGTGAATGTATGGAGGAAAACTTCTGGATTATAATTAAAACGGGAAGTTTTTTTTGTTTTTGTTTTTTTGTTTTTTTTGTTTTGTTTTTTTTTTTGTGTGTGTGTGTGTGTTTGTATGTTCTTAACCAAGTCGTGTGGACAAGCATGGTGCTGGCATGAAAAACAATTGATTTGGGGTTTTTCCATGTGATTCTCTTTTCTTTATGATTAAAGACAAAAAAATATATGAAGCTACATTGTTTTCCATAAATAAATGCAAATAATTGCCAAAATAGAATGCCGTTTTAAGAAGAAAAGGCATTAAATTTGGAATAAAAAACATGATTGATTTTTTTAAAGTCCTTAAAAAAAAAGTAAGTTTTTAAATGGTAAAATTTGATGCATTTAACCCCAGCAGGTGGATATATGAGTTCAAGGCCAGACTGATCTATAAAGCAAGTCAGGACAGCCAGGGCTACCCAGAGAAATCTAAACAAACAAAATTAATTACTTAATTTAATTAAATAAAACCAAGGACAGGAAGTTCTCACCAAACAGTAAAAGAATTGATGCACATATGTCACTGATTGCCATTTGAGGGCATTAGAGTAAGACTGATGCTTGCTAAATGAGATCAGTATTAGAGTAGCCTATGCTTAGGCTAGTGTGTCTATCATGCAATATAGTAAAATACATGATATAGTATCAAGATTAGAGGACAGTTTAGATTTTCATGTATACCAGTGTAAACAAAATTTTGAACTTGCCTCAGCGATCAGTGATGTAACTTAAAACTGGAATATGAAACCAAATGTGCTTGGCCTGCTTTGGCTCTATGGATGTGAGTGTTGCTGTAACCTCCATAACTAGTTTTTAGTTATTCTCCCAAACACTGGCCTTCCAGCCATTCTAAACATAGCCAGAATTGTCGTTAGCTCATTAAACCTGGCGGGGTGTTCTTCGGGATCTCTTGCCAGTCTGTGACAGGCTCTGAGTTGAAGTCTTCCTTTCTCTCCTCCTTAACTGTGTAGAGGTAGGCCCATCACTTAAACTTTCCCAGGCTGCCTAGGAGCATTACTTGGAATAATACTTAAAAATGTACCTAATATATATGTTTGTGCACACAAGTGTGTGTGTGTGTACAGTTAGGCATACTGAATATAATTCTTCCTGTTATATTGCCTTTGACTTAGCATTGTGCCATGCCACTTATTTCCCAGCATGTTTGCCTTGGTTGTTGCTCGTAACATTTATTGATTCCTTGGGTATGCTGTTGAGTACATGAGAGTGCTTATCTTCACAGTGACTTTAGAACTGAGAGTGCTGAGGTTCGGAGCAATTGGTTTCATAACCCAGGCTCACATATTAGTTTGGAGGAGCTTAAAGTTAAACCTAGACTATCCTTCATTCGGCCACTTAAGCTGATGCTAGAGTTTTCATTAGTGGATTGAAATAGGGAATCACCAGTGTTATTAACAGAAACTATTACATAGCCTTATAGTGAATTGGGTATTGGGATCTATAGGTAATTTTAAGAGTGCTATATGCAAATTCTAAGACATTATATACATGGCATAGAAACTTGAGCATCTTGAGTTTGGTACCTAGTTGAGGTCCTGGTACCAACCCCCTACTGGTACTGAGGAGTGTATTAACACTCTAACAGTTACTGCGCTTAAGACTAGTGTCTTTAGAAGGACTTATATAAATATACAAGAGAGGTTGCTAATTAATTCCTTACAAACAGATAGGTGCCTCTGGAAAAACTATGGTGGTTTACAAAAAAAATAGCTTTTTACTGTCTTTTTTGTGTTTTGCTTAAAAGCCTTTTTGAGGATAGTGCAGCTGGTCTGAGGCTAAACAGTGTGCTCCAGCAAGCTACTAAATTAAGTATAGACATTTGACTGGATTCTTCAAACACCCTCTCCTGCCCTGTGATAAGTGATTGTAATATACAATATACAATGCATGCATGCATGCATGCATATGTGCCAAGGACCAGTAAGAAAGAGTAGGTTTCTGTTGGGTTCGCTTCAGAGCTTGTCTGTATGTGAAGATGGCAGAGAGTCAAGTAGCACAGCTGGATAAGTTTGCACAGTGCAGGGTGCGCTTGATGCTTCATGTTTTCTGTGCTCTGCAGTTTAATGAGATTTAAGGATTTTTTTGTAAAGTATGCTAACCAAAATAATAACTCCAGAATGAAACATTATCTCTTGGAATTTCCACAAAGATAACTATTACCATTACTATATCAAAAACAAGCAAACAAAAACCAAAAACCAGTGAGTCTGGGGGAAATTGGAAGCATGCTGCTTGTGTACCTTTGGGAAGGTGCCACCTGTCTCATGGAGACCTGGAGAGAGTTCCAGTTTAATGACTAATATATTTTTCTTTTTGTTGTTGTTTTTTATTTTTAAACCTAGCCTTGGCAAATGCCACATTATGTATTATTGAGCCTATTATGTCTGTGGAAGTTGTAGCTCCAAATGAATTTCAGGGAACAGTAATAGCAGGAATTAACCGGCGCCATGGAGTAATCACAGGGCAAGATGGAATCGAGGACTATTTCACACTGTATGCAGAGGTAAGTATGGTCATTGATTGTCTACTGGGTTTCTTTGTTTCATTTTTTGAGATACATTCTCACACTAGCTCAGGCTAGCCTGGAACTCACAGCAATCCTGATGCCTCAGCCTCATGAGATAATCCCTTTGGGTTTACACATTTGTCTTGCTTTTGTTAGTCACAGAAAGAAACCAGTTGGCTTTGGTTTGGGAAATTGTAGAGCAAAATGAAGCGTTGCTTTGAGTTTGCAGCTTCTATTTTGTGGCAATTTGTATAATTTTCTGTGAGAGCAACTCTTTAGTGCAAAAGTGGAAAATAGGATTCTTTATATCTTGGCTATGCATTTTTGGTGAATTTGTTTTTTCTTTGATGTATAGTTTTTTTGTTTGTTTTTTCCTGTTAACCTTATTTGTGTAGCTGCTTTATTGGGTTATAAGACTAGTATTTACTTCCCTGATCGGTACCCTGTCTTAACTTCAATCTCAGGGTGCAGAGATTATCAGTTACATTGTAGATCACTCCAGAAGGATCTTGCTGTCAGTGTATCATGTCAGTACCCAAAGGAGGGCTTGGTGCAGCTCAGTGGGAGCTCACATGCCAATCTGCCTCTGCAGAGGAAGGCATCGGTGGGATACATTGTGAAATCAAAGATTTGTTCTAACTGTGCCTGTCAAATAACTTTAAAATAGGGTTTCCTGTCTGGGATACGACAGAGCGACTCTGCCTTTTGATTCTTTTAAACCTAAAGTTGTCAGTAGAAAACTAATTGTAAGGTACTAAATTGACTAATGCATCCCTATATTTTCCTCAAATGTTTTTCAACAAGTGGTGCTAAAATATTTCTTATGTTTTCAGGTCCCTCTAAATAATATGTTTGGCTATTCCACTGAACTGAGGTCTTGCACAGAGGTAAGCAACATTAAAGTAGAGGGAAATCTCACTTCAGGACTCTTCAGGAGAGCACCTGCAAAGCAACCACGTTTGTGAAATCTAGACTCTGCATACTTGAGAATTGTAAGCAAACAAATCTCTCTCTCTCTCCTAGGGGAAAGGAGAGTACACAATGGAGTACTGCAGATACCAGCCCTGTTCACCATCCACACAAGAAGAGCTCATTAATAAGTATTTGGAAGCTACAGGTCAACTTCCTGTAAAAAAAGGAAAAGCCAAGAACTGACTCTCCTCACTTTGAACATAGTGACTGTTTGACTACAAGATTTAGAGATGATGGATTCCAGTGGAGTGAATTCAGATGGCTGAATCAAGTTTTAGGAGCCCTTGCTGTTTCACATTCAGAAGCTTCTATGTATGTGCAAAGATAATTATATGTATATTATATTTAAACTATGGACTATTTTGTTGTTTAATGAAAGACCTTAAATAAAATTAGAGTATTACTGAAATATATTTTAATATTTATTTAAGGGAGGAAGATAATAATTTCAGCTTAGAATATACTTAAATTTACTTCACAATTTTTTTTTTTGACAAGGTCTGTGTGTGTAGTCCAGATTGACCTCAAAACTTACAATCCTCTTGCCAAGTGCTAGGACTGTGGGTATCCAGCACCATGCCCCACCCACCCCAAGTGGTTGCTTGCCATTACTTAAACCAAGGCCCAAGCACTTTTGGCGAGTCTGCTGTCTCCCCCCCCCCCCCCCCCCCCGCTCCCACATGCAAGTGTATGTACCTTTGTGGGTTTGTGTGTGAATGTACATGACAGAGGTTCCTTATTGTCTTTCAACTCAGTTTTGAAATAACATCTCTCACTAAGCCCCAAGGATTCTCCTGCCCCAGCTTCCCTCCAGTATGACTGATCTGCAGCTCCGGGGGGGACAACCTCTCCCTCCCTCCTCCCTCCCCCTGCCTCCTGCCTGCTTCCCTCCAAGATC